GCAAAACAAACCATTCCGGCTGAACAGAAGAGAGGCAGCGCTGGTCGCCAGTTTTAAAGTGCACAATTTAACAACGCCAAGAGGTCACGTGGCTCCATCCTCCACTGTGCAAACTCTCTAAAGATTGTTGCAGAGATTTAAGAAGCTGGGGAAATTGCAGCAGCATTTCTGTTAATTTATTGTACCACACCTGCCTCTTTAATTATAGCCAAAGCAACATGCCACCTACTGCAGCTGCTGTGTTAAGCCAACCGTTCATGGATAGAGATGGTAAGCTCTTGGGGGCAGCAACTGTCTTTTTGCTCTATGCTTGTCTAGCATCTTACACAAAAGGATCCTGCTCCATGACACGGCTCCTTGGTGCTAGAGTAATGCAAATAATGCATAATAAATAAACATATCGAAAGACTGTTTGGCCTGATCTATTGGACCAACCAAATGCAGACTGAATTTATAGTGATAGAACATAGAGACTGTAAAGCATGAGACTGCGTGTACTTTTGGGACTGTACCAGCTGATGCCAGATGACCATCTAACTATGCCATCTTTCCCCAAAAGGAATTTCCAGTAGGCATTGCTGCTCTCTTTGCTGCACACCGAAGCACACATACAGTAGCAGAAATCTGTAGTAAAGAAAGAATCACATCTAGATGTGCCTGCAGGTAGGATTCATTTAGCCCTCTCTTGCAGCCTGATTTTTAGGTACATAAGTAACTTTACTCCCATGAGTTAGTCCCATTAAATTCAAACCTAGGGCAGCTAACCAGAACTACTTTGCTTTGATGAACAAAATGAATGAATGGCGAGATGTGGCTTTGCATATAAACTGTTTCATAATGAGCCAGATGATACTCTCAGCTTCTGCTGATTAATTAGGACAACAGCAAATTAGAACAAAACATAGATTTGTCATCTATATTTCATTAGGAAAGCAGTTAATCATCCAGGACTTTTTTTCCATACAATAATTTTTTTAAGGAGCTGATCCTGCACTGTTTGCCTGTCAGCTACTTCCCTTGTAGAAGTAGACCCACTGTAGTTAAGAACTGTACAAAGGAAAACACCACCCCTATTCCAAAGAGCTTACAATGTACAATGCCTAATATCTCATATTTTAGAAGTGTGTGTGTGTGCCTGCCTGCCTGCCTCTCCATCTGTATGTCAGTTTGTTCAAGACCACCTCCTAGACAGTAAGAGCTAGGACCACCAAATTTGGTATGCAGCTTTTTATAATAACTTAAAGCAAGGTCACACCAGGCCAATAGGATGTGCCTGGAATTCAATAGTTTTTCATATTTCAAACAAATAAAAGGAAGTTCTTCTTCACACAGTGCACAGTCAACTTGTGGAACTCTTTGCCTGAGGAGGTTGTGAAGGCTAGGACTATAACAGGGTTTAAAAGAGAACTAGATAAATTCATGGAGGTTAAGTCCATTAATGGCTATTAGCCAGGATGGGTAAGGAATGGTGTCCCTAGCTTCTGTTTGTCAGATGGTGGAGATGGATGGCAGGAAAGAGATCGCTTGATCATTATCTGTTCGGTTCACTCCCTCTGAGGCACCTGACATTGGCCACTGTCAGCAGACAGGATACTGGGCTGGATGGACCTTTGATCTGACCCAGTATGGCCTTTCTTACGTTTTTATGTTCTTAATGGAAAAGGAAGAACAGTTATACTGCAGAATGACCACAGGAGATAGCAAAGAGCCAAAGATGGGGACCAGAACAGCTATAGCCCTATTGGCCCAACAGAGTATAGAGATGGAGAAAGGGACAGCTATCCACTATATATTTCAAAGAGTTGGTCTTATTTGAGTTAAGGACCCGAGCATCACCGGGCAAATCATCTAGTAGTACGGGCAGTCCCTGGGTTATGTACAAGCTAGGGACTGTAGGTTTGTTCTTAAGTTGAATTTGTATGTAAGTCGGAACTGGTACATATTGTACCCCAGGTGTTCCTGATTCAGACGCTGTTGAAACTGACCACTGGCTGACTACAGGAAGCCCGAGGCAGAGCTGCTTTGCCCCAGGCTTCCTGGAATCAGTCGCTGATCAGTTTCAGCAGCAGCTGACTTAGGGACACCTGGGGTAGAGCAGCTGGGGCGCTGCCAGGTTGGTCCCCGCAGCGCCGAGGTGCGGCGCTGCGGGGACCA